CTATATAGGCTTCATTTATTATCTTCTTTACTTCTGCTACTGCCTTGCCCAAATTAAAAAGGAACAACGTGCAATGTCATGTGTGTATTTTGTTAACTGCTATTTTTTGTTCAGGACATGATAAATAAACTCTGAATACAGAACACATAAAAGTAATTTTCAATTCAAGTCTATAGTTTTCAAAAAAGGAGAATGCTTGCGAATTTTGCACATGTCTAATATATAAAAGTTCATGCATCTATCACTATAAAAACCAAATTCATGCTTCCAAGTTTTCGATAGAAGATAACTCTGTAATCAGCTACAATTTTAAAATTTATACATTATTACCACTATGGCAATAGCTCACAGTGTCACCAAACATTTGTTGGTTTTCTATTACCATGTAATACAGATTCTGTCCAATCTGTTTTATATATTCCTCCTTTACAAATGCAGGCATTCCAAGTTTATTTTGCTGTCAAAACTCCGGACTTCCCACCTTGATAGGAAATATATTTCTGCTCTAATTATATTTCTTATATTCTTCTTATAGATCTTCATATTTTTCTAGGTTACATTCATGATATCAATTGGCATTTATCCCAACCATGTAAACTTTTCTTTTAACTGAGCAGATAACAGAATCAGGATTCTGAGTTATTAATATCATCTCAACTTGAAAAGGCAAGAAGATGTTCTAAATTTATTGTGTTCCTTAACTCTATATAACCATCAAATACTGATTTCTATATTCTAAAAGCATTTATTATTTGTATGCTAATAAGACTTTCATTGGCAATTTTATAGCCACAACAAGTTCCTCCAACTGTTATTTTGGTCTCTATAGCTTTTTTGAACATATGCGCAATTATTTCCAACATGCATTGAATTGGATTTTTCCTTTACTATGACAATTTAATGGAAACTTATGTAGTGAGGATATTATTTATTGTGTATATCAAGAAACTTATTCTCTTTAGATCTATCCATCTGATGTTATACTATGTCAGAGTTCTTTCCCTCTTTGATCCATGCTCTTTATTTTGAATATCTAAGCACTGCAGCAAGATACTTCCTCTTTTTAAAAGTAGTGAATTTCTTCTATCACCATAGTCCCTTTGTTCTGGTGTTTGTCACAGCATCAACCACTTTCATTATTCTAGCAGAGGATTATATTTTCTCATCTTAATTGATAGCTTTCTGGTTTTCACAATTGTGTCTCTCCTTATTTATGCAACATTGTTGTTTGATTTGTACTTCTCAGCAAATATTTTCAACTTTGATGTTGAGATATATAATTCTGTATTTGTTATGGAGATGAGTATTTTTCAACCATTTTGTTTGTTTATGCAAATACTCATTCTACTTTTGTGTGTAATCTCATACATTTGGAGTAGATGTAATAGTTTTCAGATTGAAGCCACGTTTTTACAACACTGTTTATCTTTAACAAATGTGAACACGTTCATGTGGTGTTTATGCCATCTTAAATTGTTGCATCACTTCCTTCCAGCAATGACAACCTGTAATAGGTAGGTTAATGGCTCTTACCATATCTTTCATTGTTTGTTGTGACTTCATTCTGGTCTCTTGAGAACCTGACCTCCCTTTATTCAAGGCAGGCTGTGACATTTACTTGGCTTAATTTTCATCCTTTCTCAATTGAGGAACCCTTGTGATTCTCAAGCAGTATCATGAACTTTTGATTTTGAAATTATTGCTATATCATGCATAGATGCCTTTACTGATAGAGATAAATTGTTTCTATTTTACTAGATGATCCTCTGTGCTGGCTCATAACATACATTATTAATATGAAAAACAATGGTAAAATGATGCAACTCCTTCAGTGCAATAAATTGGATTAAAAAATATTATGAAAGCATTATATACTGATATAAGTCTTTTCATGTTTGAAATGGTAAAAAGTCTCTACTGCTTTATTTTTATCTTGTTTTGGCTGATTTCTTGCTTTTTGCATTATTTATGATCTCACAAAGCCTTGTTTTTGTTTTATAAAACTCAGAAAACTTGAATTTCCATATTTCAAACAGTTGCATCCATATAATTGTTACTTAATATATATTTGGTTGTTACTCTCAAAAGAATGCTAGAAAACCCTTATCTTCTATGCTAAGCAATTAAGTAGGTTAAAACTGATCTGGTCCTTTTCCATTTCTATGTAGATTCTATTTGCTAGTCATTAATGTACTGCCATGGGTTTCTTAATGTGCGCTTTCTGCAAACCTTTTTGATGGAGGATATAACTATAGGACATCGTTTGTAGAGCTTGTATTATGACTTGTTGATTCTTGCTGTATATCTAACTCTTGCTTTCCAGATACAGTTTTCACCTTGATTCAGTTTAGTCTCTAAAGTGTTGAAGTCTACTTTTAATATACTAGAATATTTTTGCAAGATGCTGGCTAGTGTTAAAATCCTTACAGTATTTAACATTGTTGAAATTATTGCTAACATTTATTGTGGAGATTTACAAACTCTGTTTCATTCAATTTTGCAAACCAATTGATGAAATTTGAATAAGCTAATTTGTTTGGAAAAATACTTTGACAAAAACCCTACTTTATGGTTTTTAAGCATCCTAGTAAAACCAATTGTACTTTGTATCTCCTTACCTGTTTGCATTTATCCTAAAAATTTGGTTTCAATTGGTCAATTTATGTCTATTTTAGAGGGTATGACAGACAGACAGACAATAATAATGGATGGCACAGAATTTTATATATAGTTTGGATGTATTCAGTTTAGGAACACATTAGTTATTGTTTGCAAAAGTTTAAAACCAAAATTTATTTTTATTATGATAACTCTACTCCTGATGAACTTGTACACATCTTTATTAAAAGCTTGCCTAGCTTTCTCTTCTCTTCTGCCATTGCTTTCTTAGTCTTCAACTATATGAAATGGCCTTTACTTTTATTTTCTGTGAAAATTTAGTTAGGAAAAATTTTGAATGTAATAGACAATATAGTATCATCCTGTTGCACCCCCCCCCAAAAAAAAACTAACAAAGAATAGCTATTTCTTAAAGGAAAGTTTAAAGCCACACGTCAGAAAGGCCAAAAAAAAAGTCAATGATTTCTGTATTCCAAGTTCTTTTTATTGTAATTTCTTTTCTGAAATAAAAATCATAGAAATTCAAGTAGATCTGAGATTTTATTCATGAAGATTAACTACTTGAAGAATAATACAACACTATCATTTGTTTTTGCCTGATCTCATATTGACATCTTTTTATGCATCTAAAAATTAAAGAATAATACCACAGAGTATTAATATTTTAGCCTGATCTCATAATATTAATCATGTATTTTCCAAAGTTAACATCTTTTTAGTAATTCAGAAATTAAAAGTACAGTAAGTCTTCTGGTTATAACAGTCCCAATCTGCAATGATGTGTGGTTCCAATGTAACTGGCATTAATCTTGTTTCGACTATAAATTTCCAATAAAAAACCAAAAATCTCATGTTTGTATTTCTTTTTCCCCAGATTTGCTGCTGCTTCTGAGTACTGCAAGAGAGACAAAATCTTAATCTTTGTCATCTCATCTACTGAGAGCCAATGACATCACTGGCAATAAATATACAAGCAGCTTAAAACAATTTAATTATATTACATGTGTTATTTTGATTTTATTTTATTATATGCATTATATTTAGATCTCCCCTGTGTTTTTTTAGTCTTAATTAACATGTCCCAGAAATGTGTTCTTATGTCCTAGATTATTACTTTACTATTGCATTAGCATAGGTGAGTAATGTAAGTCTTTATTCACAGACAATTGCTGATAGGTTTCAATTTACAAAGAAAATTGTGATACAATGTATTGTAGGAATGGAACTCTGTCATAAGTCAGTGATCCTCTGTATTATATCACCACATGCATTATTAAAAGAGTTTATCTAGCCTCATATTCTAGTTATACATGCTTAAAGCTGAACATTTTTATAGGCATCCAAATGTTTAAGAACCCCAGTGACTGTTCAAAAAAGTCAATAATTGATCAGGATTCTTATTTTCTAAATTATTACTAATGTTTTTTATTACTTTATTCTTTTAGCCTATTATGTCAATAAAAGAACATGAGTTACATAGACCCCCCCCACCACCAAATACACAATATCTAGCTTCAATAATGTAATCAAGCAAATTGATGAAAACTTTGTTCATTGAAAATTATGACACCAACATACCAGCATCTGTACATTTTGAATATATTAATGATCAAAATGCAAGATTAGGAGCATGCTATTTCATTTGAAAGTGAAATCAGTTAAGAACCTGTTCTATGCTTTTAGGAGTAATAAACATAAAAACTCACCTTTCTCAGAAAAAAATAGGATGACCTTATAAATATTTTCATACACTGTGATATTGACTTTATGGAGTTTCATACAACAATCTCAGTTGTAACATATGCACAGTGGGAAAAATATTGTTAAAATCAGAGAATTTCAACATGTAGAAAGTTCATTTGATACCAATAATAGTTTTTCTCTGACTGCATTTTGTTTCAGACAATGTCATTTGAATAGACTAGAGTTCACTTGTTCCTGATTGGTGCATTCATAAAGCAGCATACTGCTTATATTATCTTCTTCTTTCATCTCTAACATCCAATAATCAATCTGCTTTCACAACAAAATGGATTCTCAAAGAAGAAAAAAATTGAAAAATTACATCACTATAAGAAGAGCCATTTTCATCATGAACCCTTTCTTGTTTGGAAAGAAAGTGATCACCAAACTTATCTCTTAAGTGACATTGATGAAGACAAATTCAGCAAGGAAAAATTAATGGACAGGTGTATTGCAAAGTTTGCTGGATTGTATGCTGTATTTAGCTTTTAAGAATCTTGCCATATATAGTGATGCTGAGGACAAAACCTCAAATGGAAACCCTGGAAATTTCTTGTCACTTTGCAGTTATCAAAGTTATGATCCAGCTATGAGAGATCATTTAGAGTGAGTAAAACAAGTTCCACTCAGACAGCTTCTTACAGCACCGGGTATTCTAAAGCAGTTGCCCATCTAGGTATTGACCAGGCTCAACATTGCTTAACTTTGGTGATCATACGAGAACTGGTGTTTCAACAGGATGGAGCCATAAGCAAACTTAGTGAAGTGCAAGAAAAGTGACAGTAAAATTTTTGCATGAAAAATTGACTCTTAAAGCAGATTCAGGCAAATGGCTGAAACAAAATGTGGTGCTCATAATATTCTGTAATGCATGTTTACATTTGATTTTCTTGTGTTTTTGCATTTTGGGGAGAAGTTTTTTACTCTCCATCAATCAAGTACAGAAACATCTTCAAGAACGAAAAATGAATTTTTGAGAAGCAATTTCGGATCTTGATTCTTGGAAAGCTCTCACTTGTGGAACTTTTTTCCAGTTTCTTGCTTCCCCGTAAACTTTAATCTTCAAAAATTTAAATGCAATATCAATCACTATCTTTTGTCTTCTTAATTCATGTTCTTTTATTACTCTCTCCTTAATAATGTTTCCTTATTCTCATATTCTTTCATACTCAGTAAACCCTTTGCATCTTAGTGGCTTTATTGCCTTGCTTGGGGTTAAATGATTAGCAAAAACAGTATCACATGAAAAGTGCTACCAAGTAGCACTTAAAGTTGAAAGAAAAACAATGTTAAACATGGAGACTGATCATTAAAAGAAGAAAAATATGCCATAAATGAATTCACAGTAAAAATGCACTTGATGTTGGATTGATTGCTAAATAGGAAATTTGTTGCATCATAAAAAATGTTATTGGTCTCTTGATTACAGAAATAAACAAGATTTTCTCACAAAATTTAGATTCAGAGTTTAAATTTCTTTTAGATGGGCAAAATATTATTTCTGTTCTGACTTAGCAATTAGCTATCCAGGTTATATGAAAGTATCAGTCTTATACAAACCACTTAACTACCATAGCTTCTTTTCATTCTTTGCACATGGTACACAGCATATGCAAAAAGTGAAGGAATTCAGTCTTTTCCCAGTCGATCCCTTCGCAGGATGAAATTCTATTCTGTCTGTTGCCATTAGCTCTTGACAACCTTATAATGGGTTGCATTTTTTCACCTTGGGTTAACAAACAAATGATTAAGTGTACTTTGCTAGTAAAGCTTTTCTCATAAAGGGCATAACTAATTGTTAGGGCCTCTTAGAGTATGAAAAATTCATGAAAAGACAATATTACTCTGTATTTTGTTCAGTTAAGATCAATAGATTCTTTCAACTGACATTAGCATGTTCACAAAATTTAAAGCATTAACAATAATATTAATTATATGAGAGTCAATTGAAAACAGATGTCTACTATTTTATTATGCTGATCCACAAGCAGATGTTTTTTGTATGGCAGCAGAGAGTGTACCTTCCTGTCAATAACCCATAATATTTTTTGCCTTGTTACAGATAGCAGCTAAGTGGTAGTTTGTCAAAATGACATGACATGTAATTGCATATGAAACAAACATGTGTCATTTAATTTTACCATGCAGAAAAAGGGCACACATTGACTTTCAACAATGCTTGTTAAGCAGTTACAGAGACCAAACAGTGAATGTGATCACTGTTAAGTAGTGGCAACAGCAGTGTGTGAAGCAAAATATGTTATTACCAATGAAAAATAGATAATAGAAACAACATTTTTCTGACAAAGTCATGAGTGCTGTGAAAAAATGAAAAGGTTTTTTTTGTAGCTGAAATTAATCTATTTAAAGGTGTGTTCTGTACTACCTCTATCTGTTGTATTGTCTGAAAACAAATAGGAAGCATTCCTTTAGGAGCATCTCTAATGTCTTGCATTTTAACTACTGTTTTATCTTGATTCCTTTGAGCTTATAATTGTATATTAACATTTTGAACGTTAGAAGCAATAAGTTTATTTTAGGTGATTGTAGCTGCCAACACAACCATATCATTATTGTGGTTAAATTGAATATTGTATACTGTTGCCTTATCTAATCTGGTATTTCTGCTGTACATCTTGAAAATTCTTGACAAAATCCAAAGAAGGATCTGTAATGTAATCAATCTTGACCAGACATCTCAACTTCAGTAACCTTTTCACCAACATGACATGGCTTTCCTCTATCTTTTCTACAAATATTTTCATACGAACTGCTCTGATGAGCTTTATTTCCTGGTACCTCGACTACATGAATTTAAGCATGCTACTAGATTGGCATATAGGTTCCACATTTTTACTGCTAAAATAGGTAAATGCAATCACCACTTCTAGTTCAACTGATTCTTTTCTCTCACTTCCCACTTGTAGAACTTACAGAATTTTCTGGCTTCCCTGATAACTACAACCTTCAAGAATTTAAATGCAACATCAATCACCATCTTCTGTCTTCATGTACCTTTACATCTTCTATCCTTTCCTCAATTCTTCCTATGCTCAATTTTCTCTTTAACTTTCATTCCCTGTAACCCCCTGCATACTAGTGGCACTCTTACCTTGCTTGGGGTGAAATGATTAAAAAAAATGGGTTAGATATGCTTTGTTAGTGTCTGTTGCGTTTTGAGATTGTTTAAAATTCCATTATACATTTCACAAAACATCACCAACTCATTCAGTCACTGAGATAATGGAATCTTGAACAAATAAAATGCATGTACTGCTTATGTCTATGAATAAATTCTGTGTTCATTGTGGAACTACCACACCTTACACATCAACATGATTTCCATAGAGATCTTCTAACCAACTTCACCTTCAATCCAAATAGCTGATTCCTTAGATATTCCTTATATGTGGCACCTATCCTTATATTCATCTATATTCTGAACTTTTCTACCATTTTTTTTTATTCAACTGCCTCACAAGATTATTTGTTTTTTCTTTATTTCAGCTCTTTATCTGGTTTTATCTTCAGTGCATTCTTCAGAATTATCTATGCTTGGACAACATGTAAAACCCATTCTAGAAATGCTATGAAAACCTATTCAAGTTTTGTAGTGGATGCAATCCATCACTTATAGACACAAACGTATATAAATTATGTACATTCATATGAAATTGGTTTTAGCTTTAAAAGCTTTTGAAAGCTTAGCTTTTTCTTGATAAAGTAGAATACATTTATTCTTTGACAAGATGGATTTTCATTGATGAAAATCCATTTCTAACATTGCAGTGATTGAAATGTCTCTGTATTTAATGGATTCTTCTTCATACAACCGAGAAGCCTAGATTGGTATCTCACTTGGAAATGACATTTATATTTCAGTAGAAAGATGAGTGAGCCTTTTCAAGTATTGTTTCTCTTGTGAAAAAAATGATTAAAATATTTTCTCTGCCACTTATTTATCATTTCTTATTTGAAAGAAAAAAAGATAAACTATTGAAGCTGTCTTTTATATGGTAGGATAGAATGCCATTTACTTTTATGTTTCTGTGCTACATTTGTACAATGTTTCTTGTTTAACACTTGTTGCAAATTTTAGGTTATAGCAAAAATAATTGCAGTTTTTAACCATCAATTTTAAAGCAATACTTCTCATTAATGGGTGATATATGGAAGAAATGAATTTACCAGTTTGTATTTTCTCCCATTATTATATACACGTTATAATAACACCTTATTTCACAGACAGAATGGAATGGCTAAAAGAAAAGAAATGACAAACATGCTTTGTTCTCAGAGAGAGTTTTATACCACTAAGTCATATATAATATTATATATATACATACATGTATTTGTCCTGCACAGAGAAATGCAACAAGCAGTGTATAAAAAAAAAGGGCAGCCTTACTTGTAACTAGCAGCATGGCCTGGCGTTGCCCGTGCTTGATTCAAAAATCATACAACTCATACAGCAATCGCTATCACTTGACTTAAAATATTTTTGCCCTTCCTTTCCTTTAAAGGAGTGCCCTCTGCTGTGCTGATGTTGCTACATGACTTACTTTTTGCGAATTTTTTCTAAGCTCTATACTAAACATTAAATCTGTTAAGAAAAAAGAACTAAACATAATGAACACAAAACGATCAGCTTTAAAAAAGGACTCGTAACTGAAAAAACTGAATGAAAAAAGAATGTTAACAACAAATACTTTTTCACACCCAACCCAGTTCTGCGGAACCAGAATCAATGTTGAATTTAAGCAAGCGAATGAGCCAATTGGAGTAAAGTGCCATGCAGATTTAAATTTTTCCCACTTTTGACGAATGCAGCTATCAATGTTTTTTGCATGCTAGCATGCTAGTTAACATTCATGTCAGTCAGCTGTTGGCTCTCACGCTGGCCAATAAAATCTTCCTGCCTATTCGTGGCAACCAGCTATAGGCTCTCACTCTGGCCAGTAGAAAATGGCCGCAAACTACATGAAAACTGCTGTAGAAGCATAAAAAAATCAATTATTTCCACTATCGATGGGAGTTGGGAAAGGCAAAGTCAGTTTTAGCCTTTCTGCTAACTTGGAGCATGTGCATGTAAATTTTGGTGCAAATCCATTGAAAATTGCTGCCATGCATTCGTTACACACACACACACATCCTGCCTTTTATAAATAGAGTTATTTCCTGAAGGGAAAACTGGAGTTACACCAGTTTCTCTATGGACCTGATAAGACCATGTGGTTTTTCCTGTAAGTCCTACTGCTGTGGGCTAGGGACATCCTTCTTCTCTGGGTTTTACATTACAACTTCTTTTCATCACACTATCCTCTGATGTCACTCACTAGCTGTCACATGACACTTGTGATTTTATATCAACAAAAAGAAGATAATCATCTTTTGTCTCATTACATTAGTTTTAAAGAGAATTTATTAATCAAAATAAGAACAATGCATTGTTACTACTAATAAATAAGTATAGTTGTTCTGCTAACATAAAATTCTTGTGTTCTGAAGTTGATGAATTATTCAAAGTTGTTTTGAACTGCTACTTGGTTTTTGAAGACTATCGCTTGCAGGAAATTGTCAAGGTATTTTAAAAAAGTAGTTGTCAGTCATAGAGATATCTAGTGAATAAGTTGGACATTGATGTTACAGTTCTTGATGCATTTTACAAATATTCTGGCAATACTTTCTCACCAGTATTCAAGAAGTTGCTGTAGATGATTGTCATGACTTAGATAATCTGATAAAGACAACTGCTAAGTAAAAAGGTCTGTTGCAAACTTTTGATAGTAGTGTTTTAGATTAAATGATATCTGCTGGATCTGATCTTGTTTCTATAAGAAATATAAACTCATGTGACATAAAAATTTGCATATTATGACATTCTTTCCTCCTAGAAAAATGAGGATGATTTTTTTCATAGTTAAGTAATTAACTTATAATTACTAAAGAATACAATTTATTTATTTAGTAAAGAATATAATTTGTTTAATTACTAAAGAATACAAATTATTTATTTTAATCACACCTGTATTGTATAGGGAGCCATATTAGATGCTATCGGTTCCAGATATCGGTTTTCTGGATATGTCAAGGACTAAAAATATGTGAACTAACATGACTTATAACTTTACATATTACAATGATACTACTAACTGACTACTAACCCCTAACAGGACCAATAACCTTTTGAAATACATTTTATTTTAGCTTTAATTGAATGTTTTTGTTTGATTCAGCCAATGTGTTGAACACTGTCTTTTTCTATCATATGTTACAATGTGACCAAGAAATGGAAATTTTTTAATGCACAAAAAACACAAAGCAGATTTTCTTTTCTTTTTATTTTTGTTCAACTCATTTGTTGAGCGTTCTTAATTTTTTAATTTAGTGCAAATGTCTAATAACTGTTAAATGGTTAACAGATTTTTTTCAGTGTCTTGAGCTGTTTTTCATGAGTCCAATTTATTAATTTATAGCCTTGATTTTCATTAATTGTAGGACATAATCTGTCACCTTCCTTATCTTCAAAGCACTTGTCACGGTTATGAAATTTGATGATGGTACCCTAGTCAAATGCTTGGTTGCTATTGTAAGCAGCTTCCACAACTTTATGTTGTTTGGACCTCATATAAATAAAATAACTAGAAACAGAAAAACTTGAGAGTTTCAAATCTTTTCATTTGTACACTCTTACTACTTTATATAATGATTGCATTCATATTCATGATCATTATTGCAATATTTTGTTTATGTTATTAAACTCAAATATTTAGCAAAGCAAATTGGGGAAATTCCTCAGGCATTTGTATACAAATGCCTGAGAAATAAGTTATAGAACTTGCAAGGAGCTTATTCATTTAGTAACTTAAGAATTTTGATTCATCAGAAAATTTAAATAGAAAAACCATGAAATTTTCAGAGGTACCACTATTTAAAGCCACTAAGACATAAGGGTTGCTGAGTGTTGAAGAATATGAGAGAAATATACTATTAAGAAGAGAGAACAATAAAAGAACAAGAATTAAAATTAAGAAGACAAAGGATAACAATTGGCATTGAATTTAAAATCTTTGAAGATCAAAGTTGACTGGGAAGTGAGAAGTGAAAAGAGAGTTTCACAAGTGAAAAGTGCAGTAAAAGAAACTGTTATCATAAAACTTATGGTTACATCTAGCCATTTCAAGTGTAAAATGATGAAACCTCAGAACAGTTATGTTGACTTATTTATAGAAAAGGCACAGGGAAGCTATGTTACACTTAGATGCCATGTAAGAACCAATAACACTGTAGATTCTTCTTTGAATTTTATCAAAAATTTCTTAATCTATAACAGGAGAACCAAACCAGATTTGGCAGCAATATTCAAAGTAATGATGAATGATAGGCTTACAATTTGCAAGATATAAGATAAATTCTGGTGAGGAAAATTGTCTAGCACAACACAGGGAACCAACTTTCCTAGCAATTGATTCAATATAATCTTTCCACTTCATATCAGTGGAAAATGTTACTCTGAGAAGTTATAATTGAGGAATATTCAAATACAATATTTGATTATGAATTTTTATTACATTTAACTTGCTTGATTGAATTATATTACATATTCAATTGCATCAATGCAAATTTTATTTCTCATATGGCTCTGATTATTATTTTATTGGTAATAACAATATTGATATAATATTAGAGTTGTCATTGTTATAATTCTTTTTCGTTTTCCTTTTTAGGGATTTGAAGACATTGTGGAAGGTTTCATCAAAGAAGGTCATTCTGCAAGAGAGCTTGAATATATCATCAAACAACTTAATTCAGGTAAATTTTTCAATTGATAATCAAAGATTTTTATCATGGTTTTCATGATTTCACTTGTCCCTTTTCTATGATCTCAAAGCATTTGCTGTAAAGCAATAAATTACAAGCTAGTATTACAAACCATTACTATTGTATTGAGTTTGATTTTCACTAGTTGTCTGACACTTGTAGTCTTCTGCCTGATCAAGCTGAGTAAACAACTATTTTGCCTTGTACTGAGATTTTTGTGTATTTTCTACTATTGACCAGAAGAAGTTGATGTTTGAAACCAAGATTTCAAATGGGTATTTTCAAAGCAGACAGACAGGCCCTTCCTCACTTGAAAGTTAGGCATAACACAATTTTCTTACTTTGCTTCTCCTTATTTGGACTAATGCTCCAAATAAATCCACACCAAATATGAAGCAAAGTAAATATAAATTATCATTTTAAATGATTGACTATCACTTTTTTTTCAGGGTCAGTTTTCCTATCAATAGGAAAATAGTTGTAAATTCTCCTGTAAATGCATTCTTTTAAGTCATTTAATAATTGAGATGTTATGAGAATATGTATTACTCCTTGTAACTTGAGTCATTTTGTTTTAGTCTTTATGTTACACTAGGAATATTATCTATGAAATTATTTTACTCAAAATTCATTCATAAACAAATAAACTTTTAACACATATTGGAAAGGAAAATATACTGGATGAATCAGGAAAAATAAGTTATCCTAAGGAACAATGATTATAACAATAATAGTGATTAAAAAGATTTTAAAGAATTATAAAATATTTAAATATACTTTTGAAATAGATAAGTTTGATAAACAAATTAAATCAAGATTTATCTCAGCTAAATAAATTCTTTTAACCTTTATTACTCTGTATGTGATATCATTTGCTGTGCAAAAAGTTTATCCTACCACTGAATTTGAATTTGTTTGAATTTCATAGTTGTGTTGTCATGTCCTGCTATGGCAACAGAAAACACCTTTGAGTGAAATTGACAATAAGATTACTGCGAGAAAGAATGTAGTGGAAAGGAAAGTAATATTAATAATGCAGTGTGTTAAATGTTACGCACAAACAAGGAAGAAAAATCGCTAACTGATTTTGAAAAAATATTAAAAAATTGCAAATGTTTTTGCATCAAAATTTGCATTTCCTCTAAATATTTAAAAAAAATAATTAATTAATTTGATATTAAGATTGTTGGTAATATAATGTACATAAAAACTCTGTAATTTATGAGACTGAAAGAATCTTGATATTATTACACTTCAGACACAGTAAAAAAAATTTAATCACTGTAAAACACAGTTAATTTTACATCAAAAGCAGAAGTTTATGAAATATAATGTATCCAATGTATCTAAAAACATATTTCTGAAACATTCCAAGATTTAAAAAAAAGAATATATGAACATAAAAAAAGACTTTAAAATTAAACAACAAACTCTGTACACTAATGAGCTACTAAAACCTCTACTATCACAATTTTGACTATGAAAAAAATGTAAAGTGTGAATATAATCTACTGGGATTAAGATACATTAAAAGCACCATAATATATGAATCTTCCATGATAGATATATAATTGTACTTTTTCTACCTAAATTAGAAATGAAAGTGTGTGGGATGAAAAAATGAACAATGAAAAAAAAAACTGAGTTGTAATTACTCAAAATCTGATTTCTATAATCACATAGTTTAAGTAAAAAAGCAAAGCATTCACATGTTTAGCATGAACTATGTTTTGTTTTGTTTATGTATATTTTTTACTGTGAAATAAAATAAAATACTTTTTCTATTATGTTGGGTCATTGATAAAACATGTACAGGTAAAATTTCTTCTGCTTACCATTGGCTTCTTCAATGACTTTTAGGACTTCTTTTCCAAAGCAACAAAAAAATAGCCTTCTGTAAGTGTCTTAGAAACAATTATCAATTCCATCTCTAAGATATATTCTTTATATTTGTTCACCAAAATAGTATAATTGTCTACCAACTCGGTGGAGTTGTGTTTTATCCATTGTGGTGTCAAGTTAGTATTTGGTGCAGATTTATTTGGAGATGATGACTGTTTTTCTGCCTATGTTACTGCTTGGTTCATTTGCATAGTAGGGTCATGTCTTTGTTCCTCATCTTGCTATCCTGTCTTTGGTTTTATTTTTATTTTTCTGTTAGAATCTATTCAATAAAAGGAATAGATTCACTTGTCACTGCAACATTTTGGTTAATATTCCTTAGTCCTGTGATGCTTTTCTTTTTTTCAGTCTGCTTGCTTCATATTGTTTGTGTTGAGGCAGACAATATCATTGATGCTGATGTCTAGTCTGTTACATTTTCTGCAGGCTTATGTCATCTTTCTGTACATTTGGTGGGAAGTCATGATGCTGCTAGGCATGGTAATTTGGACCATTGTTTTGGACAAAGATTCCTCTCTTTTACTCTCATTCACAGTAATGTTTTTCTTTTCAAAAACTAAAACAAAATCTCTGAGCAAAACAAAAATATGATATTGTAACCCATCTCAAAGTAAACATTTAAATATCAACTTGTAACTAAGCAGGATTCAAGTGTCTGTATGTTATGATGTACATTTTGAAAATATCTTTGGTACATATAATATCAGGAATGCAATGTATTTTATTCAGATGTTGATGAAAGGTAAAATTTGTGATATATAATAATCTGTAATTCAGAGACATATAACCATTACACACACACACACACACACACACACACACACTGTGTGTGTGTATATGTCTGTGGGTATTATGAAATGGACTAAGTCCAACAATTATTTTAATATATTTTCTGTTTATATATGTTATCTTTATAGATACAAATATTTAAACAGACCATTTGCTTAAATATTTGTATCTATAAAAATAAAGTATAAACAGAAACTATATATATATATATATATATATATATATATATATATATATATATTTTATATGTGTGTGTGTGTGTATATATATATATATATATATATATATATATATATATATATATATATATATATATATTCCAAATGTAATAAATAAAAATCCAAACATTTCTGCCATTGAAGTTTCACCTGTGGAACACCAGGCAGTACAATTCAGGATTTCTTTTCTTCCTTTTATGAAAATATGCTTATATGTGCTGTCTGTGACAGAAGTGATATATATATATATATATATATATATATATATATATATATATATATATATATATATATATCTGTAGATGTGTGTATTTAACAAACATACAAAATATACAAGTTTTGTTTAAATCAATCATGTTATCTAACAGTCAGGAATTCCAGCTCTGTATTGTTGAGCAGTGCAAAAACTGATATACTCTGGTTCATTGAAAGAGACACCTGATATTACAATGACACATAGATAAAATAACTGATATTATCTAGAAATAGACAATGGAATGAAAACAATCTACACCAAAGTATGTTGATTCTAAATCCATACCCAGAATTGTCCTTACATATCAGTTTTTTAGATGGCGGGGAAGGGCATAGCATATTTATGCTCAAGGTAAATATTGTATTATATAAATGGTACAATTATGTATGTTCAAGGAAAATTTAGATGACTTATAAGAAAATACCTGACTCTAAATAAAAATACTCATTTTCTAACTGATATTTTCCAAAATGTTTGAGGCACTTGCTGCTGTGCTTGTGGATTGATCTGATGTACCATTGAAGGATCTAGCAGTAGTCATCCATCATGTTTGGGTTAATTGGCCTTGAGACCCAAATTCTATTTCAGATGTGTCCTACTTGAATAACTTATTCTACTCATAGCTTATAGTATTCAAATCCATTCCGGGGTGGAGACTGAAATGAGACTGTAAGAGTGCATTTTAAGAGAAATCTAGCATCTAATTTTTTGATATTCTGTTAGCATTTTGTTTATTAGATCAAGCTAGTTTTCTGCTCTCTGAGACCCAAGAAATATTTATATCTAGAAAATCTGACATGCTTGGAAATTTTGTTTTTATTGCTCAGTGTAATTAAAATAAGACAGTATCTCCTTGGTCATAAATTAAAACTTGTCATTGAAGAACAATTATGAGTACTGATCCAGAATCATTGCACTTGATTTGGCATCAAGCATAAATTTTGACCCATGTACAAAAACCTTTATTGCTCAGTGGGATCAACTGTAATGATCAAAAGAAGATACATAAATTTTATTGGCCATTTGAAGGAAGTTGCTGTGCCTGTTAAATTATACAAGCTAGATCAACAGATTTCAGAAGTACTATTTCTCTGCGTGGTTTAAAAGTTAAGAGCATGAAATAGACTTCTTCTATGTGCCATGCTCCTTAAGGACATTGATGATCATGACTCTCCACAATTTCCTGTCTTTTGTACCTCAATAAATTTTGTCTTTTTGCCATCTCTCTCAAATCCTACTCTATCATCTATTCACTCAAGCTCACCTGGTAATATATGCATTGTTTACTTTTGTCCCTCTTACCTTTTCCTGTGAATATCAAATTTTACAAGCCTTCTTTCCTTGTCATGTGCCCTAGAAATTCCTGCTGTTAAGTATAAGTGTCCTTTTTATTGTCATTATCTCTAGAACTTTGCTCACATATTCAATCCATGCTATTCTCAGCATCCTTCTGTAGAATTGCATTTCTCTTGCTTCAAGTCTCTTCTTTATCTTTGAGATTGTGCAGTATTCACTGCCATATAGGAGGACTGATATTATGTAACAGTCCAGTACTGTAATCTTTGATTCTAATGATATTTTCCTGTTTCTTAATACTTTGCTTAGCTTTTGGAAGGCATTTTTCACTATCCAAATGCAGCCATGCAGTCAGTCTTCTTACAATGGATGTTTAGTCCTTTCTTCTCACTTTCCTTCACTACCTTCTCTAGGAATTTTATAGTTTCCTTTCTGTGTCTGCTATCAACACTGTGTCTTATACTGTTAAGATTGTGGCTGCCAATAATGAATCCTGTTACGACTTCTAATTCTATCAGGATTAGTTGAAA